TATCGCTTTTCTTTTTATTGTACATATGTATCGCTTTTCTTTTTATTGTACATATGTATCGCTTTTCTTTTTATTGTACATATGTATCACCTTTCTTTTTATTGTACATATGTATCACCTTTCTTTTTATTGTACATATGTATCACCTTTCTTTTTATTGTACATATGTATCACCTTTCTTTTTATTGTACATATGTATCACCTTTCTTTTTAATGTACATATGTATCACCTTTCTTTTTATTGTACATATGCATCACATTTCTTTTTAATGTACATATGTATCACCTTTCATTTTTATTGTACATATGTATCACCTTTCTTTTTAATGTACATATGCATCACCTTTCTTTTTAATGTACATGTGTATCACCTTTCTTTTTATTGTACATATGTATCACCTTTCATTTTTATTGTACACATATATCTACATACTCACGTCATCAAGTACATTTTATTACCGTTTGTATCTTTTTCTTGTATATACAATCTTTATATTAACATATATTACTCTATTTGCAGCCATACATTAAATATGTATCTCAATTGACTAGTACAAACTATTTGAACCTTTTACGTACTAGATAGTTCGCCACAGAGAGAGAGAGAGAGAGAGAGAGAGAGAGAGAGAGAGAGAGAGAGAGAGAGAGAGAGAGTTCACATGCACATTATCTGTGTTAATTTGACATAATGTTCAGTCTGTAACACTTTTCCCGAATGTGACCTACTGAATAAGACTTATTACCGGGTCTGTACTAACATGAGCAACACGACGGGTGCCACATATGGAGCAGGATCTGCTTACCCTTCCGGAGCACCTGAGATCTCCCTCAGTTTTGGTGGAGTTCGTGTTGCTCAGTCTTTCGTTTTCTATGCTGTGTTTTGTGTACTATTGTTTGTCTGTTTTTTTTTGTTTTCTTTTTTAGCTATGGCGTTGTCAGTTTATTTTCGACTTATGAGTTTGAATGTCCCTCTTGTATCTTTCGCCTCTCTTTTAGATCACTAAAGAAACTTATACAACACAAAGCATGAATATATAGACAATAACGAAATGACTTAGTCAGTTTTATAATAAAATATATTACAGCCGGTTTTTTCCGGCTTAATCAGAATTTGGAAACTTCAGTTATAACATTGTCTGTTTAAAATTGGTACATATTCAACCGTCTTGCCCCAGTTCAGTCAGGTTCTGAAAACGTTTATCATAAAGTAGTCTGTTTTATACTTGATAAATAATACAGCTGTCTTGCCCAAGCTTAGTCAGGGTTTGACAACTTCTATTATAACGTGGTTTGTTTTATACTTGGTACATATTATAGCTGTCTTTCCCTAACTCAGTCAGGTTTTGACAACTTCTATTATAACCGTAGTCTATTTTACACCTGGTAAATATTATTAGTTACTTAGTGTGCTAGTGACCTAATATGATGAGAGTGAAGCTCGAATCCCCATATGGAATTTATTGACCCCATATATATCGTATTAGGTTACTAGTACACTGTAACGAATTTATCTTACCGACTATCTTAACATGTGGTATTTAGACTAGTGGTCTATCAAAGTAATTAAGTCCTCAATACTTAGTATTAAGAACCTACTTCCACTGGTCTATACAAAAACAAATGCCAACAATAACAACTTGTTAGCTTTAAATGTGTTTTATGAATTTATTTCAATCGTTCATCACCAATTTCTTTGTCTGTTGAAACCTTTCAGATTTTTCCCCAACACCGTGTTGTTTTTATAAATGGACGTAACACCATTACTAACCGTGTATCGAAATAAGCCCTGCCTACTAACCCCATATGAAATATACACGTTCTCCACGCGGTTGCTTTTAACCAAACATATTCCTAGAAATGTATAGGAGGTAAGATAATATAGCTGGTTTGCCCGAACTCAGTCAGGTTTTGAAAACTTCTATTATAACGTGGTCTGTTTTATACTTGGTACATATCATAGCAGGTTTGCCACAGCTTAGAAAGGTTTTGAAAACTTCTATTATAACGTGGTTTGTTTTATAATCTTTATTGCAAAATTACACCCATAAGGGTCAAGCAATACAAACAAACAATTATACATTTTAAATACAATGCAATACAATGTAATACAATACAACATAATAGAACATATTTTAAGAGTTCAATTATAAATTTATGTAAAAAACACAATCATAAGCTTGTCTGACATGGGTCTGACCCCCTCAGTTCTAAAGACTGCTTAATAAAGACTCCAATATGACAAACAAGTTCAGAGATGGGGTTTAGAATGTGTTTTAGTTTATTAAATGCATCAAGATGTTGAAATAATGGTACATAGTCTTTTAGATAAGCAAAAAAATTAGAACTCAATGATATGTTAATATCACAATACAAAAAGAAATGAAATTCGTCATCTAGGACTCCACATTTTTTACATAATCTTTGTGCTCTTGTTTCTGTACCTTCCCAATTCAATTTATACTTGATACATATTATATCTGGTTTGCCCAAGCTCAGTCAGGTTTGACAACTTCTATTATAACGTGTCTGTTGTATACTGGTACATTTTTGATTATCTTCTCGGTCAGGGTTATCTAACTTTTGGTTATCTTCTCGGTCAGGGTTATCTGCCTGATGAAGGTTGACTGTATGGCAATACTTTAAATTATCAGGCGTTCTTCAAACGCACATTAAATAATTAATTTGAACGGTCACTCTTTGACTATTTTTCGACATTCGAATTCTTTGATAAGGTATCCTACAAATATTTTTGCACAAATGTCAACTCTGTGTTTATTGACTCGGGTGTAATTCACCTTGTTATTATCATAACACAGAACAATCAATTCAACCATTTTATTTTCCTTGAAATATTAATGAAACACGAGCATTTAATTCTAACTGCTAATTATTAACTTCCAATAATCATGCTTCAAATGAGCTGTTTCGTTGCTTAAGCATTGAAGCCAAATGTTTAAAATAATAAAATATATTTGATTGCATATTCCCCCGACAAAACAGGTACATACAGTAATTGATCATTGGGATAATAAAGTCCTGTAATTCCGTGGTTGTCGTTTGTTGCTGTATGTCATATTTGTTTTTCGTTCATTGCTTTGTAAATCAGGCCGTTAGTTTTCTCGTTTGAATTGTTTTTTATTTGTCATTTCGGGGCCGTTTATAACTGACTATGTGGTATGGGTTTTGCTCATTATTGAAGGCCGAACGGTGACCTATAGTTGTTAACTTCTATGTCTGTTGGTCTTTGGCGGAGAGTTGTCTCATAGGCAATCATACAACATGTTCTTATTTTTATATAGACAGAAGAATCTACAACGATATTGTTTGTCACTTCAGATAACGATACTATTGTTCGGAATATGACCATTATTGTTAGATATCGTCACTCTAGACAACGAAACTATTGTTCGGAATAAGCCCCTTACTGTTTGTCACTACATACAACGATACTATTGTTCGGAATAAGCCAATTACTGTTCAATATCGTTACTCCATACAAAGATACAATCGTTCGGAATAATATAAAAATAATGAGTTGTGGTATGATTGCCAATGAGACAACTATCCACCAAAGTTCCATTGAAGTGGATGTAAGCAATTATAGGCAACCGTACGACCTTCAACAATGAGAAAATCCCATACCAACAATATTGCTGTTCGGAATATTACCATTATTGTTAGATGTCGTTACTCCTGCAGCTAACAATACAATCGTGCGGAATGAGTCCATTACTGTTTGTCACTTCAGACAACGATCCAATCGTTCGGAATAAGCCCATTACTGCTTGTCACTTCAGACAACGATACAATCATTCGGAATAAGCCCATTACTTTATGATATCGTCACTACAGACAACGATATAATCGTGTGGAATAATTCCATTACTATTTGTCACTACAGAAGAAATACAATCGTTCGGAAAAAGCCCATTATTGTTTGACGTCATTACTGCAGACAACGAAACAATCGTTCGGAATAAGCCGATTACTGTTATCGACACTTCAGTTTTCTATGTTGTGTTTTGTGTACTAGTGTTTGTCTGTTGGTCTTTTTCTTTTTTAGCCATGGCGTTGTCAGTTTATTTTCGACTTATGAGTTTGAATGTCCTTTTGGTATCTTTCGCCTCTCTTTTTCCGACTTGCTTTGTAGACTGTTGTTTGTCTGTTTGTCTGTTAGTCATGGAGTTGTCTAATTTTGTTCCTTTTGTATACTCTCCTGAATTTATTTCCACCAAGGAATGGTCATAGAAAAAGTTATTTGTCTTACATGAAGAGAGAAAGTCTTACGGACAGCACAAGCTCTTAGGCTAACCGATATCTAGTCGCGTTGTGTTGAAAACGTATCTTACATTGCAATCAGAATAAATGAATAGTTTATTAAATTAAACGGTAAATACAATTAATCATTCTCTAAGTTCAACATTATAAACGAATTCAAAATAGGAGTGCCGCCATGTTTAATTTTCCTTCCATTATTGGGAATATTTATAACAAAATACAAGCTACTCTTATATTTACAGAAATATAATTCAAGAATGAAGTTACTTACGACATTATGTGTTAAATAGTTCATTTCTCTAAAATATCATATTTACTTCTATTCTCTAAAACATGATATTTAGTTCTATTCTCTAAAACATTATATTTAGTTATATTCTCTAAAACATTATATTTAGTTCTATTCTCTAAAACATTACATTTAGTTTTATTCTTTGTTGAAGATTTTCATCAAGTCTCATTCAAATCAAGCAGAATAATTAAGTTTCTTCAGACAATATAACATGCCACTTGTTCGCTTAATAAAACATCCAAGGGCTGTTCAACGATTATTGGGTTTGTTTTCTTGTATTTGTCTCATGCACAAGACTTAATTGGAATCTGTTTCTCTACTCTAAATTTAATAACAACGTGAATAAAAATAATGCCTGATATTTATTGACTATCAACATAAGAAATAGATTCGGATATTAAACTCCAAGATAGCGGTGATTGGTTCAGAACATAGTGATTATCAGAAAAAGATGCATAAAGAAGGATGATCGAACATTCTCATTGTACAAAAACTGATGCATTGCATTCAATACCATTTTATAGGAAAATCAATGAGTGTTTTTCACACAGAGTGAAGTGATTAGTTCGATCAACAATATTCTTAATCAGTAACTCCAAGCAGGAAACTACTTACAACAAGGTAGGACAATTATTTTATTATAGATTAACCAGCAGTTCATTTCAATTATCCAACAAATATCTGTTAATTGGCTAATTAAATTGTTTGTATGTAGATTTAACACTATCTCTAAGTAAGCAAATACTTGTTATATTAGGTCGGAATCCCTGGATATGACTACTGACTCCACCATCTGATACTGAAAATAAAATATCAAAGAATTCTTACGATACTGTTGTAAATTTCATAACATTAATATTATATAGTGAATATTGTTTAAAAGATTAATAATTAAAAAAATAAATGTGGATTAAAGAGATAATCAATGCAATAAATAAAACTTTTCATTAACGATTAAAATCAAAAACAGTTTGAATAATATAATAAGGTTGTCATGTATTTGTGGGTATGTTTGTGTGTATGTGTGTGTGTTTTGACTGACATACTTAGCATTTTATTTCAATCATAAACAGCGGACAAGCAGTCTACATATTCCCGAGTGCACAATTTTTAGTCTTTAAGGAAACATTTAGAAAGAAGTAAACCAAAGGCAATGAATATATATACGAATCAATTGTTATCATATTGATAATGAATATAGCAACATTGGTCATATAACTCTTCAACTGGTTCGGTTCTTATACATCCTTGACTTTTGAGCGTTCCTGGAGAAGGAAAATCAATCCAGAAAAGCACGTCGGACACATGAGATTTATAACGTGTTGTTTTCATTTTTTAAAGGCAAGAAATAAGAAGTAGCGTCCTGTCAGGGACCAGTATTTTGTCATACAAGTGAGAGGTTTAGCTAGAAATAAAACCAGGTTGAATTCAGCATTTTCTACATATAGAAAGGCTGTAGGAATTTGACAGTTGTTTTCCATTCGTTTGATGTGTTTGAGCTTTTGATTTTGAAATTTGAAAAGGGACTTTCCGTTTTGAATTTTTCTTGGAGTTCGGTATTTTTGTTATTTTACTTTTTTCATGTGTATATAATATTAACTCATTTCGAAATTAAATTTACTGAAGTTGCTAAATATGTAAAAATATGAAATAAAGGTAGAGAAGACAACAAATCTGTTTATATATGCGATCAAAATAAGTGTCTAAATAATGTCACTTTTTCTATTAATGTTATATTAAAATTATATCATTTCTCTGAAAATATAAGCGCAAGGTGTTTGAAATAAGCATACCGCAGACCAAACATGACTGTTTCAAAACCATGAAAGTAATTGAGAGAACTCCATGATATAGTAGTACTTTATGTGTCGTGAGATTTTATAGTACTGTATGTGTCTTCATAAGACCGTAAATCTCTATAATCAGAGAAAATAAGATGAACAATGTCGCCGACTGGACACTTTTACGACAATCTGCCGAACAAATTTGAAATACAATTGTCTTGTAATTGCTTCAAAGTACGAATTACAGCTGTCATTCGGAAAAGGTCAAAATAAATTTTGCTTTTGAAATGTTCTTAAGGCAATTACAACAGCTCGGTTTCAAATCAACTTTCGTGTCAGTTAATAAACCTTACCATATTAAAATGAAACATGCAAAGATAATTGCCGTTTTGAGGTGTAAAATGTCTTAACGTAACATGAACAGTTAACGAAATGACTTTCACATTGTCGAGGCTTTCAATGGATTTAAATAAATGTTACTGAATTGTTCTGCTGGAAGGTTCTATCCACCAAATATAACAGATGTTTTTTTGGTTTTTTTTTCATTATATTTTTTAACACGCCTGTTACTATATTTTCCAAGATGCTTTAAGAGGAAAGATCTCTAAATGAATTCATATAGCAATATGAAAATTTTCGCCGAATAACAATAATAGTTATAAAAAAAAAATTTGAATATAGAAAATATCCTGGTCCAATGTATATACTCATTATTTTATTCGTTTGTCTATTTTGTTGTTGCTAGAAATGTGTTTACATTTAAGTTATGATACCAATATAGCTTTAATTTACTTGAGCCATGTTATGTGAATCTATTGTTGAGCCATGTTATGTGAATCTATTGTTGAGCCATGTTATGTGAATCTATTGTTATATAACTTATATATATTTAACCCATTTAATGTGAATCAATGCTAATATAACTTTAATATATAAAACCCATGTTATGTGAATCTATAATAAAATATATATTTAATTTATTTAACCCATGTTATTTGAATTTATAATATCAATATAACTTTAATTTATTTAACCTATGTTATGCGTGAATCTGTCTCCTATATAGTATTTTATTTCTTTCTTTAAAAATTGAATGTCTCCTTGAAGTTTTTTTTATAATTTTATCCGGGGGTGTAAAAGCGTTGACCGTATGAAGTGCTAAAATGTGCACACGTGCATCATTTTTTTAACCCTATAAAGTTACAAAAATAAGCATTTAATTCTTTTATTATATAGATGAGGGTGATTTATATGAAATAACTCTTTTATTTTCACTCTCCAGACTTTACCCACCGTACCCTCACTTGAGATTACACGTCAAACAGCCTAAGGTTGCAAGTACCTTATTAAGTGTTTCACATATCAACAATGAATAGTCCGGGTACTTTTAAAACAACTTCTTGTTTCGCAATAACTGTAAAATCTGCATCAATCTTCTCGAAATGACGATCTCTGTCATTTTGACAACTGTGTGCAATACACATATATTCATACGCAAAAAAGGACAGACAGTGAAATAACTAACTAAATATTATTTAAAAGGGAATTGGATAATTATTGTTCAGTCTTTTAATTTTTCTTTTTTTATTTGGGGCCTGTTGATTTTGATTGTTTTACGGATGTCACATGTGGAGCATGATCTGACATCATTGAACCAACACAGACTAATCATTTTCAGATGAATGCAAATCAACTCCGAGGCTTTTAAACAATTTTGGAACTTGTTTTGTACTAAATGTTTCATATCTTGCATGGTTACTACGAACCAATTGCATTAACGATTCTTTGGTTCTTTTCTCGCAGCTTAATTTACAAGAGCATTATAAATATTATCTGCAGTTCTGACTGTAGCATTATCTGTGACAATTTCTTCAACTTTTACTGTAGTTATATCGCTATTATCAAGCCCATTATTCACTGGTTGAAATTCCTCTACTGCTTATACAGGAGTGGGTGACTGCTAATCCTCGTCACGAGAAAGAGGTTGAATTATTTCATCAGCCTACACGACATACCCCAGACAGCAGTAAACCAGAAAGCTGGAATACAAAAAAAAAAAGAAAAAAAAAAGAAGAAAGTGTTGGAGGCTCAACGGACTCATTGCAGAATACCGAGTTTCCGTTGAATTGAAATGCTATAAAGTCTTTGGAACACGTTGAAAGCTTCTTCGTCAAACACTTAAAATCATAGTAAAAGATTTTGGTAATCATTGGTTTGTCAATCGCCGAAAACGACTTCTCAATTAATACTACAATGTTTAAAGTACAGTGTTTATAATATCTTAATTATTTTGAGATCGCCTCCATCATTTAAACTGTCTTACTCTCACTGTGTATCATCGCCTCCATCATTTAAACTGTCTTACCCTCACTGTGTATTATCGTCCTATCATTTAAACTGTGTTACCCTCACTGTGTATCATCGCCTCCATCATTTAAACTGTCTTACCCTCACTGTGTATCATCGCCTTCATCATTTAAACTGTCTTACTGTTACTGTGTATCATCACCTCCATCATTTAAACTGTCTTACCCTCACTGTGTATCATCGCCTCCATCATTTAAACTGTCTTACCCTCACTGTGTAGTATCGTCCCATCATTTAAACTGTCTTACCCTCACTGTGTATCATCACCTCCATCATTTAAACTGTCTTACCCTCACTGTGTATCATCGCCTCCATCATTTAAACTGTCTTACCCTCACTGTGTATTATCGTCCCATCATTTAAACTGTCTTACCCTCACTGTGTATAATCGCCTCCATCATCTAAACTGTCTTACCCTCGATGTGTATCATCACCTCCATCATTTAAACTGTCTTACCCTCACTGTGTATCATCACCACCGGAAATTGGGTACCAACGAAGCGGAGAGAAAGGAGAAAATAAAAAATAAACAAGGTAAGAAATCCTTTTATTTAAACCATTTCTACTGTTTTGCTGAGGTCATCACTTATGAAACGTTTTTCTTATAGATAGTGCTATGCTTTTTATGCCAACAATAAGCAAACAAAGACAAGATTTTGTGTTATACTTCAAAACTGTGCACTTGGTACCAGATAATTTCGAGGTCAATCGCCCTCAGACGTCCCGCTGGCTAGATGTTCAACTGTTTTTATTTTTTTTCCTGACAACTTTTTAGATTATAATAGTGTGACGTCATATTTACTGAAATTCGCTATTAAGGTGGTACCAAACACCTTGACTAAAATTAATTTGGCTCGTTTTATTTTCATAAAATGTTGACAAAATATTTACTTTGACCCTTTGAAAAAAATATAAAAACTTCAAAAAACTTGAACGACACACTTTATCGGAAAAAATTCATTGGCTATATAGAAGTTTATCAAACACTAATTTAGATCATTGAGAAGCTTAATATTTCCTTAACAACAGAGCTTGATTAAAACGTTCAGCTGATTTTTACAGAGTTATCTCCCTGTAGTGTTATGTACATTGTACCACCTTAAAAGGATGTTTTCTAAAGAATATCGGTAAAAACCAATCACGCGTAGCGTTCGGCAACTTGCTGATGTTTACAGATTTACAGTACGGCAACTTGTTTTCAACTGTATGGCAACTTGCTAGTTTATACATACAATTATAATATTAAACAGATTAAATTAATTAAGCGTTTACAATTTAAATGCGTTATATACGACAGCGGACAAATGTTTTGACTTCCTTTTACACTTCTGCTGTGTCTTTGACAGGCTACTTGTATGGTTAAATGATAGCTGTCCTTAGCAAAGCAAATTCAAATGATATTTCACACACACCTTTTATGTAAACTAGACTAATTGAACTCTGTTAACCTTGTGAAAAAATCTTTCTATA